ATCCCCTGCTCATGGATTGGGAGAATAAACATTATTAAAATGGCCATCCTACCAAAAGCAATATACAGATTCAATGCTATTCCAATCAAAATTTCAATGTCATTCTTCAAAGAAATAGAACAATTATTGATGAAATTCATATGGAATCACAAAAAACCCCGAATAGCCAAGCTCTCTGAAAAAAAAAGAAGGGAATGGAGGCATCACACTCCCAGACTTCAAACTCTACTACAAAGCCATAATCATCAAAACTGCATGGTATTGGAACAAGAACAGACATACAGACCAATGGAATCGAATAGAAAATCCAGAAATAAACCCACAGATTTATGGTCAACTAATCTTTGACAAAGGAGCAAAGACTATGCATTGGAGCAAAGAAAGTTTGTTCAATAAATGGTGCTGGAAACTGGGTCGCTACATGCAAAAGAATGAAGCTTGACCACTACCTCACACCATATACAAAAATCAACTCAAAATGGATTAAAGAACTAGACATAAGACCTGAAACCATAAAATACATAGAAGGAAATATAGGCGAAACACTACGTGATTTGCATATCAAAGACATCTTTGCAGACGCATCACCAAAGCAGTGATAGTGAAGGCAAAGATAAACAGCTGGGACTACATCAAATTAAAGAGCTTCTGCACAGCAAAAGAGACAATAACAAAAACAAAGAGAAACCCCACCAACTGGAGAACATTTTTGCACCTAACACTAATGATAAAGGACTGATCACAAAATCTGCAAAGAGCTGATGAGACTCAACAACAACAAAGAAAATAATCCAGTCAAAAAATGGACAGAGGAACTAAAAAGAAACATCTCTGAAGAGGAAATGCGAATGGCCAACAGGCATATGAAAAAATGTTCAACATCACTTGCAATCAGGGAAATGCAAATCAAAACTACCATGAGATACCATCTTACACCAGTGAGAATGGCACATATTAAAAAAACTAGCAACAACAAATGTTGGCGAGGTTGTGGAGAAAAAGAACTCTTCTGCACTCTTGGTGGGAGTGCAAACTGGTCCAACACTATGGAGAGCTGTGTGGAGATTTCTGGACCTACTAAACATAGAGCTTCCACAGGATCCAGCAATTCCACTCCTAGGTATTTACCCAAAGAACACAGAAACATCAATTCCAAAGAACACCTGCACCCCATGTTTATAGCAGCACTGTTTACAATAGCTAAGCTTTGGAAACAGCCCAAATGCCCAAAAATAGATGACTGGATCAAGAAGATGTGGTACATATATACCATGAATATTACTCAGCATTCAAAAAAGATAAACACATGCAATTTGCAGCAACATGGATGACGCTGGAAGGGATCATGCTCAGTGAAATAAGCCAAAAAGAAAAAGAAAAATACCGGATGGTCTCACTCATAGCAGGGATCTAGAAAACTTAAATAAGGGACCAGGAAAATGAATAACTATAAGAAAGTGAAAATCAAAATCAACAAAAAACTATGAACCAGAGACACTTTTTGGGGGTGGGGGCGGGAGGGGAGGGATTGGGGTCAGAATGGGGGATTGCAATTGTATGGGGAATATAAAAATAAAATTTATTAATTAAAAAAATAAAATGAATATTAAAAAAAAAAAGGGGGTGGGAGGTAGACAAATAGAGTAAGAGGGTCAATAGTGTGGCGGTAGATGGAAAACTAAACTTTTGGTTGAGATCATAACATAGTATGTGCAGATGTGAACTACTGATATAATGCTGTATATCTGGAACATACATAATGTTATAAACCAATGCTAGTGTTACAGGGCAGGGAGAGGGGCAGCCCAAACCCCACAAACCTGCCTATTTTAAATGGGTTCTGCCATCTGCCTCATCAACACAAAACATATGAGATTTTAATGGGAAGGAACTTTAATACAACTAGGAAACAATACAGGAAAGGCAAAGAATCTAGTTTCTAAATCAAGCACCCAAAGTTACCCATCCCCTCGTGGGTAAAACTCCATCCAACAGGATTGGCCCAGAGCAAGGCCCCAAAGCCTGCCACAAGTCTAAAGCCCCTTCCAGTGGGGACCCACAGAAAAGGGTCAGAAACAACCAGACAAGCCCAGAAGGAAAAGAGCAAAATCAAAATCAAGATAAATGCTGCCATTGTCACCTCCCCACGGGTCTCACCCACATCTGTGTCACCCAGTCCATGACCAAAAGACAAGCGCAGTTTCTTCAGGTGTCTCTAGGCTCCATGTGCCTCCTCCAGTCTCCTTCTGGCTCTGCATCCTGCTTCCTTCCTTCCTCAGTCTCCTCTGCAGCTTCTTCTCTCCCTGCTCAGCTCCACCCTCCATTAGGGTGGGGCAGGGAACCTGGAACCTCCCCCTTTCCTGGGGACCACCCTGTTACAATTTTTCCTACCAGAGAAGGTGATATAAGTGGAAAGACTGGGGCTCCTAAAAATTCATAGCCATCGATTTCACCTGGCTCTCTAGCCAGGCTTAGCTATTCTCAGTTCAATTTTTTTCACATCGATTATATAAAACTTCACTATTCTTCTCAAATTGCTAATTCTCCCAAGTCACCCCTTACACAGATGCTATGATACACAAAAAGAAGCCATCACAATGGAATGTCCTCACTGCTCATCACAAGCAGAGGCACACACATGCTTCTCTTTCCATGGCTGACCTTACTTCCCACCCACGATCAGTCCCTACCCATACTTAGACCCCTGCTACCCCCTCTTTCCAGAGAGGGCATCTTCTTTTAAAAGATTTATTTTTATTTGTGCATACAAAAACTGGGGTGTAGGCCAGAGGTGCAGGGGTAGGCACGAGAGGATTCACCAGAGACAGAGTGAGGAGCAGAACAGGCGGATCTACTGAAATACACTGCTGAGGGAGCAGCAGGCAAGACAGGAGAGGTCTGCTGCATCATGTGAGTTAGCTCCCTGGCCTGGAAACGTGCTGCAATAGCTTCATAGTGCTGTGACGTAACCCTTTGTACCACCAGGGAGGCCCAGAGAGAGACCCTTACTCCCCAATTTCTCTCTTTTCTGTCTCTCTGGCATCATGTTTTTTAACTGAATCTTTCCCAGGCATTTAAATATGCTCATACCTCCCCCACTGGAAAAAAAATGAAAGACCACTTCATTCCTTCAATCCTATATCACTTCCAGCAACTAACGTCTCTTCTATTTTTACAGTTAAACTTCCTTAAACAGTGCGTGTCTCTAGTGATGACAAACTACTACACAAACTACTACAGAGATGATTTGATCCACATATTTAAAATTTTTTTGTATCAGTCAAAAGTGGCTTAAAAGTCAGGATAGGGCCCTCCCTGGTGGCACAGGGAAAATTAAGGACAGTGCTATCAAGCTATCACCAGCCCCTGCAGCACAAGTTCAATCCCCGGCGAGGGAGCTACCCACATGGCACAGCAGACCTCTCCTGTCTAACCTGCTGCTCCCCTCAGCAGTGTATTTCAGTCAGTCTGCCTGTTCTGTTCCCCACTCTGTCTCTGGTGAATCCTCTCAACCCTGCACCTCTGGCCTGTACCCCAATTCTTGAACACATAAATAAATAAATCTTAAAAAAAAAAAGCCAGGATAACTTCTTGTGAACAACAGGATTGTCTGGTTGTGACTGCCTCACTGCTGCTCCTTCATCTGGGGCAAGGGTGATCCAGTTTACAGTAGTTTACCTTTGTTTCATATCCAGTAGTTTCCCTCAAGCATTTCATTCCCTTTGTCACAAAGGACCTGTGCAACCTCTGGGCTAATTATGGCAAGGTCTTACATTCACCTCATATCTACACCTCTGCACTCTGTAATTGCTTCCATCACCTCACTCTACTGAAACAAACCATTCTTGCCACAATCACCAATGAGCTGAGCTAAATCTGACATTCTTTTCAAATCTTGTCTTGCTTGACCTCTAAGCAGCATGTAAGCCTGTTGGTCAGGCCCTCCTAGACTCTCTCCTTCTCCCCTCTTTACTCTTTTTTCACTTAAGTGGAATTCTTCTTTTTCACTCTCCTGTGTAAGCTCTCCTGTCATTTTTGTGTTGGTCTTTCCCAGGACTGGTCCTCAGCCTGTAGCTTTACCCACACCGCTCTTCATGTGTGATCTCAAACATGCTATCTCATTTGAACAGGATTCTTGTAGCTGGTGTTCCTGCCTCCAGCCCATCATCAACACTCTAGCAATGGTCTCTCCTGAAGAAAATTTGATTATAACATCCAAAAGCAGTCAGTGTCTTCATACTGCTTTTCGGATCAAGTTGAAATGTTATGGTGACTGTAACTGACGATCCATATGCTCACCATATCTACTTCTTTTGGCCCTTTCTATCTCCACAGCATATTAGAGCCAGTGGAATTTCTTACAGTCCTGTGATACCTTGGTCTGGGTTCCCTTTTAAGGCCCTCTTTCCCTTCATGTAGTTAATTCCTAATTCTCCTTTAGATCTTCTCTAACAGGAAATTCAGACTGTTGACCCCTCTCTCAGAACTCTGGGCATTTTCCCACCCTAAAGCCCTCACATCCTGTTGTTATTAGGTTCCAAAGGTCTGTCTTAACCTGAAGTTATAGACTCATCATCAGATGAGTATGTATGTATATATGTGTATGTATGCATATTTGTGTGTGTGTGTGTATGTGTGTATACACATATCTATTTCCCAGTGTGGCAGATTGAACAAAAAAAATTCAGTAAATATTTATGACAGTGGGGTTTCCCTGTTGGTGCAGGCAGTTGATCGCCGCGCAGTGAAGCTGTCCACAGCCTCTGCAGCGCGGGTTCAATTCCTGCTGGCCAGAGAGAATCCCACAGGGCGCAGCAGACCTCTCCTGTCTCGCCCGCTGCTCCCCTCAGCGGTGTATTTCGTCAGTCTGCCTGTTCTGTTCCCCGCTCTGTCTCTGGTGAATCCTCTCACCCTCCTTCACATCTGGCCTGTACCCCAGTTCTTGTATATATAAATAAAAAAATCTTTAAAAAAATATTTATGACAGTGAAAGGTCTCACCTCAAAAATTTCTCGAGTTTTTCTCTACTTTCACAAATATATATATGATCACGATATTCTAAAGCATAGTTAATGTTACCAGGTACTAGGGCTTCATATCTGAAATACAAAAAAAAAATTCTATTGTATAATTCATATGTAGGACTATTAAATAAAATGCCAACAATGTTCTATTTTTCTACCTATGCAAATTAAGGAATAAATAGAACATTTTCCAATTAAATATTAGTGACCTTTTAACTAAAAGGTTAGAGATCTTCTATGAACCACTTATTCTGAGTAGGGATTCCACCTTGTACTTCCCCCAGGGCAAGGACTTGCCTTTGTTTTCCATCCTGGTAGGTCACAGGACAGTAGCCCTGGAGCTCAGCACACTTAGGGAATCGACTCTTCAACTCTGACAGTGTCAGCTTTTTGGGCATCATGTTGGCAGATGGGAGTGGATGAGGAGCTAATGGAGGCACATATAATTCTGGGTTCTCCAAAAATTTCTAAAAAAAGGATTTAAAAAAAGGATCATATAAGGATTACAGCAGCAAAATCATTTAAAAAAAGGAAGACTATGTCAATCAAAAATCTACTGAGGCTCTCCTGCTACACTCCCCATTTCCAGTATCAAGGTTGGCCTTTTGATGCATCTGAGAGCTGCAATTCTCACTACAGTAACTGCTCCCCTGGTTGGCAGTTCATTTATTCAAAAGTGATCACATCTAAGGTCTCTCTCCTAATCTCAGTCACTCATCCATTCATACAAAAATATTTGTTGAGCTCCTACTACATGCCAGGCGCTGGAGAGTGTACCATCACCTGCCTGCCTGTTTTCCTGTCCAATAGGGTCATTAACTAGTTGGGTGCCCTTTGCAGATGAGTTAACATCTCCAGCTTCAGTTATCACTCTGTAAAATGGAAAGGACAGATGATTTCTGTCACTTCCAGTTTTAAAATTCTGTGATTACCATTTAAATTAGCAGGAAGAAATAAAAGTCTCCTTAATAATGTCATCAAAAACTTCTGTTTATTCAGAGGAAAATAAAATGTTCAGAGGCATCTGATTAGTTTCAACAACCTCTTTATATTATCAAATTATGGACATTATAATATCAGAATAAATCTGTATTCTGTTCCATTTAACAGGACTGTATAAGGTTTACAGGGATTGTAGATAGAACATTTTTAAAATCACAGGGAGACACAAGTCATTTTTTGCTTCATTTCTACTAATTTTGACTTCAACTTCCTTTTTCAGCACCTTTGGACACCCATCTGTGGGCTGAGCCCCAATGCTCATCATCCCCTCTACTGGTGGAGCTCATTGTTGGGTCTTCCTATCTGTTGAACTAGCCCAAGTCAAGGACCTATCACTGACCCTGAATTTCTCTTTTGTGCCAAAATATGTCCTGGGGGGCCTCCCTGGTTGTGCAAGGGTTAAATGTCAGCACTATGAAGCTATCGGCAGCCATTGCAGCATGAGTTCAATCCCCAGCCATGGAGCTAAACCACATGGTGCATCAGACCTCCCCTCAGCAGTGTGTTTCAGTCAATCCACCTGTTCTGTTCCCCACTCTGTCTCTGATGAATCCTCTCACCCCCTACACCTCTGGCCTGTACCTCAGTTCTTGTATACATAAATAAATCTTTAAAAACAAAACAAAACAAAAAAATATGTCCTGGGAGGCAGCATCAGGACTGACTTCTGAATTGCTTCATTGGTTCCAGAGTCACATGCTCCAATAATGGGGCTGCTGACCCAAAGTTCCTGGGTATTCCTATCTGTGTCCACCCCTTCTTTAATGAATCAAGAGACAGGCATTTTCTTCTTCTAGCTAACCATTTTGACTTAGGAACAACTTACGTTCAGTTTTTCTTGAGAACTCATTTTATAATAGTGCCCTCTGAACTCAGCTGCAAATTCCAAGGACTCAGTTTCCGAGCAATCAATTAATTCATATGATTCTGCCAGGCTGACAGGGCAGAACTGTCCAAATTCGCCCAGGCGAGAAGCAAGCTCTTCAGGTGTGATACATAACTTGTCAATGTGGGCAGCTTTTCCTGTAATCAACATATTAGCTATTATATGTCTTCATTCTTTTTAACAAGGATGTTAAAAATTAAAATAACTGAAATTACAAATGCATACATATTGTAGGTTCCAAACAATGGAGTAAAGAGTTTCTCTGACATCTTTCCATACTAATTTGTATGACTTACCTAATTATTTCTAATTGACATGTAGTATTCTAGTGTATAATGATACTTACAGCCACCCAAGAGAAGGGAAGAAACATTTCCCCCCTAGGTGTGCCCTAGAGATTTAACAAGAGAGTAACATAATTTTTTCAATGGACTGGTTCAAGGATTTTCTCCCAATATTCCAAAGTAATATGGTATAGGGAATAAAGTTACTTTTTAAATACATTTAGCTATAAGAAGTAAATTTTGACACTAATCAATATGTTTTACTAATGGTCCCTTTCACCAGTGACAAGTTTTGCCTTTTTGTTGTTCTTATTATTATGTCTAACAAGGTCTTAGATTAATTATGAAATTATGAAGCAGAAAGTTATTGTTTGGTTTGTTTTGGGACAATGTAAATTTACTAAATTTCTCCTGAGGATAGAAATGATCTCATGTGAGGTGTATTGTTACAGATCTATAATCCCTTACCTGAGACTCTAGGGACTAGATTTTTTGGCTAATTCAAAATATTTTAGATTTTAGAATTATATCACACTCTCATAGAGTTTATGGCATCTATGACATTAAATTTGTCATCTATGACATAAATTTATCTAATGAAAGAGGATGATTCTTCCTTATTCACCAAGGTGTGTAAAGATGATAAATAGTCTAGTGTCTGCTCATTACAAATTTTGCCCTCCCCCAAATGACTTAAGAATAAACTTTTAGAGGTTTTCAGTAACACAAGTCAGAAGATGGACCTGGGCCTCCCTGGTGGTGCAAGGTGTTAAGCATCTCACTATGAAGCAATCCACAGCCTCTGCAGCATGAGTTCAATCCCAGGCAGGCCAAGGAGCAACCCACATGGCTCAGCAGACTTCTCCTGACTCGCCCACTGCTCCCCTCAGCAGTGTATTTCAGTCAGTCTGCCTGTTCTGCTCCCCACTCTGTCTCTGGTGAATCCTCTCACCCCCTGCATCTCTGGCCTGTACCCCAGGTCTTGTATGTATAAATAAATAAATCTTTTTTAAAAAAAGAAGATGAACCTTCCTCAATGACTGGGCATCAAGGTGGTACATTCCTCTGATACTAAATACCATACCCATCTCCCAAAAAGGCTGGGTCTAGACCTGAAAAGAGGATGGCTAAAGCCAAACTTGAAGAAGGTTCCACCATGCAATCCCACCACAGTTATGTTTTTAAATAGGGAGTGGGGAGGAAGAAGGAGCACACACAAAATAAAGCCATCTTTATTAACTGGCATTCCTTCAAGCAATTGTAATAAGTCAGACATTTAAAAAGCACTGGTTTCTTGGCTGTTGCCCTCCATTCACCTCTTGAAATAAAGAATCATCAGTGTGGAATTAGCACCATTTCTAAAGGGTCTTTAGGATTTAATTTGGTAGAGCACAGGGTATTCCAAATGGTAAAATCAAAGACTCGAGAGAATCAACCCAGGACTACAAATCCCATTGTTACTTCAGGGTCCCCCAAGGAAGGCCTCTATCCTTGAATACAGACTACATCATTAAGTTCCAGTCTTCTCTGAAAAGTTCAGATCCTGGGTAAGATCTCCTGAATATCTTTGCATTCTACTTCCAGAATCAAGAGCAGGTTTCCTAAGGTAGCATTTAAGACAAAATGTCTGGGAACTTTACCAAATGTTGCCACACAAAATTCTTGTCACTTTACATCTTCAATTACCCTACTAATCTGAGAATAAGGCAGATCATGCCTCTGTTACTGTAGCATGTAGATCACTGGGGATCACCAGGTGAATGGATCTAGCCTGGCTCCAGCAGTCTCTTACATGCCCATCTGGCGGTGGTCACTCCCTGAGTAATCTTCCCCCCAGGTGTGGGCTGGCCAAGTAGCCTCCGTCTAAGGGACAGAACATAGCAAAAGTGATTGGATGTCACTTTCAAGACTAGGTTACTGTTACGGGTTGAGCTGTGTCTCCTCAAAGGATATGCTGAAGTTCTAATCCCCCAGCACATGAGGATATGACCTTAGTTGGAAATAGAGTCTAACAGACAAAAAGACAAACAAAGACATAATGTAATTGAAGATTTTCTTCAACATGTTGCTTCCTCATGCCTTAATATATTTTCTTCATGGTTTCCAAAGGTAAATAAAGTCATTAAATAGAAAACTGTCTGACACCCGCAGGTAAATTCTTTGGAGTTCTCACTCTTTTTAGAGAAAACAGATGAAGATAACTTTCCTTCTATTTTACATATTTTTGGAGAAAAAAATTTTATTTTTGGAGAAAAATAAAAAATTATCAGAATATGTAATACATAATCCAACATTTCCTTTCATGGATCCCAAATATAGATGGAGACACTTTATGTTTAAGTTAAAAAATTTTAAATAAATTCAATATTTATAAAGCATAATGAGTGTGTCACTCCACAGGCCACTGCCCTCAGATCTACAATTTTTGAAACAAGCTTCTTACCTGGCATTCCAAACACTATAAACTGTCCTAGTGGGAGACCATGTGTAATCTAAAAACTAAGCTCACACAGGCATTCAATAAATGATAGGTTGAGGAGCAACAGTCATTTATTAGAACAAATATACATGCCACTATAATTGGATAGTAGTATATACTTAAATACTGATTAAAATTGTGGGAACAAATGTTTAAATTGAATGATTTATGAAAACATGAATCAGGCATGAATAAACTTTAAATTGATATTTTATTCCATCCCAACAGTTCAATGTTTTCTTACCTGCTTTTATTCTTTCCAGATATTTCTGTATATAACTATTCACCATATGAATTTTCTTAATGACTTCATTCCATACCCACCATTTGCTGTGGAATCCATCAATCACATACCAGTTCTGATGCTGTTTTTCATAATATTGCTTAATTTCATCAACATTTTTGTTGTAGCTTGAGTTCCTGACAGCTATAATCTGTGCACTGTTGTGTAATGGGTAAGGCAAACTGGAGAGAAAAAGAGAAGGGATGGAAAACAGCTCTTAGAACATACTGTTTTCACTAGATGACTAAAATTCACTTCTTTTACTACTGTTTTCATCACATACATTACCTTGGTCCCTTGTTTTTTTCCAGGAGCAGTCTTTTGAAAATCTCTTTGGAAGGCACATCCAACTCAAAGATGATCATTGGGATGATGGACCTGGCTTCCAAGATACTCACTTGAGAGTAAGTTACAGGGTATCCATCAATGACAGCACTAACAAGGAGAAAAGTGAAAATAAAAGCTCCAAATTTCTTTTCTCTCAAAGCTTCCCTCTTGTCTTTCAGAATCAGTAATTTTTTTAGCAGTAGCCCCAAGCTAATCAGCAACTTGATTTCTGTTCTTTGTGATTCACCCTCTACTTAGAGATATTTTAAACCTCAGTCAGTCCAAGGGCGAGAAGAAGGGCAGCATATATATGAACACAGCTCTGAATTTGTACATTTAGCATCCCAAGGCAGGTCTTGGCAGAATTCAAGAGAGAACGCACATCATACCTTGAACACTATATTAGTATTCAATTGGTGCTGTTATTCTAAGCATGACAGCAGTGGAGAGTTTAGGCTTTAGAAGCAGACAGACTTATATTTGAAACTCAGTTTGACTTGATGTCTTTCTGAATTTCAGTTTTCAGGGGAAATTACGTTTAACATTTAGAGTTGCCTTAAAGATTGTAGATCAGGTATGTAAAGCAACTATAGTAGGACCTGGCACAATCAATAGTATTTTAGTAAGAGATTAAGCAAATATGGAAAAAACCGTGCTCTAAACTTGTTCTAAACTTTCACAGTAAAGTTCTATGAGGAGGCTGGGAGTCTCAAAAGGGAGATATAGAGTTATGAGAAGACTCCCAAGAGTCTTCATCATTTCATCAGGACCAGCATGCCTCTGGGCAGAAAGGATGGTGAATTGTGAGGGTGTCACTGTCAAACTGAGAGAAGTAAAAGCCATCTACAAATTCTGGGATGAGTGGCCCCAAAGTCAGGAAGCTCACTCTGCGATGGGAGCAAGGTGGGCACATTGGCTGCTGGTTGGGCTAAGTCACAGGATACCCTACCTCAATGCTTTCCAGCCAAGTCTCCAGGTACTAGCTTTAAGTGCCATGGCTGAGAGGGTTATAAATTAAGACAGCCAGAGAATGTATGGGGTGCCACTGTTGTTGTTTTAATTGGAGAGTAGTTTAACATCTCCATCTTGTGAAGTAAGGGTCACTTGAGTGGCCCTCAAGCTTAGAGAAATTCAGGGTGAGTGGAGAGTTCCAGTCTGGAACTAAAACCTTTGTGACTCAGTCAAGGTTGCCTTAATTGAGATTGCTCTTCTGCAAAGCTGAACACCAGGAAGGAAGTAACTCAATTTGCTTAAATCCCAGACACTCTGGAATCTGCTCCCCTATAACTGAAGTTAGGAGAATTGTCCAGAGATTTGATTAAGGACCTGTGGCAGGGAAGGGCAGGGTAAATTACACCTATGAGTAAATTAGGGGGATTCTAGGTCAGTGACTTGGACTCCAGAGCAGGACATTAGGTTTCACTCATTTTTATGACTTTGTGTGACCAGTGGTTGTACTGGGGTGGGGGATGAGTTGGGGAATGCTTGAGTAGAGTGTAAACTAAAGAAATAATTCAAACATGAGTGCTCCTGTCCAAATTTGACATTAAGGGAGAGGCACTGCTGCCTCTGGGAACAGTGCCAGCAGAGAGCTGGCTCAGTGAGCAGCCATAACTATTGGGCCAGTTCATTTGGTCCAATTATCACTTCTGGGCTGCAGAAGTCACACCAGCTTCCTTTTGGGCTATGTACATAAGCCTGGTGATTTTTAGACAACTCAGGGGTTGCTGGCTCTTTTGGCTTGTTGAGCGCTCAAGTCAAGTTTTAGTTGACAGAAAATTAAAATATGTGGTCACATAGATGCTCTAGTTTGAGAAGCAGGTCACACCTTTTACAAGAGCTTTCGAGCTTTAAAGTATTTTAAATGCCAGTGAGTAATTTCTTGAAAGATTTACCTCCTCTACCCCGGAGCACTTACCCTGCAGTATTGCATATATTTTCCATCAGAGATATTTCTAGGGCTTGAATAGCTAGTTCATCAGGTACTGTCATTCCTTTATAAAGATGCCACTTTAACATAATTGCCAGTTCTGTATCTGGTTGGTTGTTTAATATATAACGCAAAGCGCCTCCTACTGACAAATGCTTTAAGCCACAATGACTTGCCAGTTTTTGGGCAACTGAAAAACATTAAAACTTATTCCATTTCATAAATTCATCAGTTAATCTTAGGTTTATATTCTAATTAATAACATCTAATTTTCACATTCCTCAAAGAAATTTTGAAAGTTAAAATCAGTATATTTTACTGAATTAATAATGTCAAAGGTCAATCATTATTAGTATTTCAGGTATGTGGCTGATGGATCTAATTAATAAACCAACTTAATGGGTTTTTAAAAAATAATTAAAACAATATTTAAGTGTTCTCATCCTTCTAGAAAAGCAGCAATATTTTTGAGAGCTTTACAAGGTATCTTATCTGTGCTAATAATGAGTATACTACTATTGGGTATTAAGTCCAAAATACCAATCTAGCAGTCCTGTGTCCCCAGATGGTAGGTAGTCTTTGCTCCTGTCTATCCATCTACTGACCCCATACCCAAGGTACCAATGAGTCCTCTAAGAAATAATTTTTAAAAACGATAATGGCATACCTGATACCTTAACAATAATTTATATCTTATGAGGCAATTTTTCTTTTGTGACCTTATTTGATATTTTCAACTGTTCCATCAGATGTGTAGAATTGGGGTTGAAATTCCAATTTTATAGGTGAGAGATATGAAGTCTACTGAAATGGAATGATTTGTCCAAGGTCATATTGGTAGTGTCATTGGTTGAAAGTGGACTTGCTTGGACCTCTGCTTTTCCTGAATTTGACTATAGGCAGTGGCTTCCAGTTAATAGTAAATGTGTGTGCTCTCTGTTGTGGCTGAGATACCCTGTTGAGCACTTTGTGGCGACTAAAGTAGGTAGAGGACACCAAAAGAGCCCATCTCATCCCATCAGAAATGCAGATTAACTGGCCACTGTTAAGATTACCCAAGGAAAGCCCCTGGAGTGTCACAGAGTTCTTAATCTCAGTTTTGCCACAGATGTCAGTTGGAATCAGAAAAAAAATTTAAAGTTTTTAAAATAATTAAGCTTTTACAATTTGACATTTTGTTTAAGAAATAAACTCTATTTCAACAAAGAAATGAGAAATCACATTATTTTGTCTAATTTTCACCTTTTGTTCAGGTTGTGGGATACTATTTTGAATGTCAATGTTCTTTCTTTGGGAAATACTATTTTTGTCAACATTTAGAATATGACTTTTAATAACTCTTTTGTCATATAAAGAAGTTTAAATAGGCAAAACAATCTTTAGATCTGACAAGCTGGAACACAAAGCTCCCTTTATTATTCCCGGTAATACATTAATCTTAGACCTCATTTCTTTCCTCTCTTCTCCATTCAGTCATTAAGTTCTATAGCCTTCCTTTGAAATAGCTCTTGTATCTCCTTTCTGCTATTCTCATTGCTACCAATCACTGTTCATGTTATTAACGTATCATCTTGAAATAATATAATCTGCCGATTATTGGACTATTTGTCTTTAGAAAAAAGCCACAGTCCAAAGTTATACAAACTTCAAACATTACAGGAATATAGTTTACCAAATGCCTTCTTAAGCAAAGATTAATATAATGGAGTTTCACTATCTAAATTATTAATACAGTCAATTATATTTACAAAATCTGTTAATATAATTTTATGCCAATATAATCTTTGCATACTGTTACTTGATAATAGTAATTTTTTTGTATTATCTTTGTTAGGTTTTGATATGATGGCTATGCTAATTTAAAATGAATTTACTTTCTTTATATCTTTTTGATTACATGAATTATATTCCTTAATAAAAAAGAAATTGGAAATAAATTGGGAAACATAATTTTTTATCCCCTTCTCTGGAAAAGCTTACAAAAACACAAGAATTACCTCTTGAGTTTTTAACTTCTTGAAAGCGTGATATAATTTTCCTCAAAAATCATTTGATTCTGACAGATAACTTATAAGGGAAAACCAATCTGGTTAACTTCAGACTTCTCCGAAGAAACATTGTGGGCAAGAAGAGAATGGAGTAACATATTCAGCAAACTTCAAGACAGCAAATGCCAACCAAGAATACTTTACCCTGCAAAGCTCTCCTTCCTCTATGAAGAAAAAATATGGACCTTCTCAGGCAAACAGAAACTCCAGAAATTCATTACAACTAAACCCCCACTCCAACAAATTCTACAAGATGTCCTAAAGCCAAAACCAACAGAGGAATGAACAAGAAGAACAGAATAAAGCAAGGAATAAAATCACAAAAAAGACAAACAAAATGGCAAAAACAGATGCCAACATATCAACTCTAAATGTAAATGGATTAAACTGATCAATAAAAAGACACAGAGTAGCAGGCTGGATTAAAAAACAAAATCCAACCTTCTGCTGTCTCCAGGAAACACATTTAACAACAAAAGATAAACTCAGACTGAAAGTAAAAGGTTGGAAAACAATCCTACAAGCAAATGGACCAAAAGAGAAGGCAGGAACTGCCATACTTCTATCAGATGAAATAGACTTCAAATTAAAAAAGGTAAAAAGAGACATAGATGGACACTACATTATGATCAAGGGGACAATACATTAGGAAGATATAACACTCATCAACATATACTCACCAAATGAAGGGGCCCCAAAATACATTAGACAATTATTATCAGCTCTGAAAACAGATATTGAAGAAAACACATATATAGTGGGAGACTTCAACACCCCACTCTCACTAATGGAAAGATCAACGAGACAAAAAATAAACAAAGACACTAGAGCCCTAAATAAAGACATAGAACTCATGGACTTAACATCTATAGGACACTGCACCCAAAAAATTTCTGAGTACACATTTTTCCCAAGTGTGCATGGATCATTCTCCAAAATCGATCACATACTGGGCCACCAGACAAACATCAACAGATACATGAAAATCAAAATCATTCTAACTATCTTCTCTGATCAAAAAGGCATCAAGCTAGAAATAAATCATGAAAAGAAAACAAGGAACCCTCCCACTTCATGGAGATTGAAATCCACACTACTGGAAGACCACTGGACTAATGAGGAGATCAAAGAAGAAATTAAAAAATACTTTGAGGGCCTCCCCTGGTGGCGCAGGCGGTTGAGCACAGCGCTGTGAAGCTGTCCACAGCCTCTGCAGTGCTGGTTCAATCCTGGCAGGCCGGCAAGGTTCCCACATGGTGCAGCAGACCTCTCCTGTCTCCCCTGCTGCTCCCCTCAGCAGTGTATTTCGTCAGTCTACCTGTTCTGTTCCTTGCTCTGTCTCAGGTGAATCCTCTCACCCTCCCACAAATCTGGCCTGTACCCGGGTTCTTGTATAAATAAATTAATAAATCTTTAAAAAAAATACTTTTGAGTTGAACGACAAGGAGGACACCACTTTCCAAAATGTATGGGATGCAGCAAAAGTGGTAATAAGAGAAAAATACATAGCAATACAGGCTCACATCAACAAACAAGAAAGAACTCAAAGAAACAACCTAATCTCACATCTCAAAGAGCTAGAAAAAGAACAACAAAAACCCTAAAGCCAGTAGAAGAAAAGAAATAATAAAAATCAAAGCAGAAATAAATGAATTAGAAATTAAAAAAAAAATCCAAAAGATCAATGAAAACAAAAGTCTGTTCTTTGAAAAAATAAACAAAATAGACAAACCTCTAGCCAGACTCACAAAGCAAAAATGGGAGAAAACATATATAAATAGGATTATAAATGAAAGAAGAGAAATCACAACAGACTCAGTAGAAATCAAAAGAATAATCAGAGATTACTATGAACATTTATATGCAAACAAATTCAACACCTAGAAGAGATGGACAAATTCCTAGAACGATATAATCATCCAAAGCTGGACAAAGAAGAAATAGAACAACTAGACAGACCAATTACAAGCAGCAAAATAGAGGCAGTAATCAAAGCACTCCCCAAAAACAAAAGCCCAGGCACAGACGGCTTCACAAATGAATTCTACCAAATGTTCAGCAGTGAATTAATGCCTATCCTACACAAACTCTTTCAAAAAATTGAAAAAGAAGGAATACCACCATATACATTCCACAAAGTCAACATTACACTAATACCAAAACCAAACAAAGACAGCACAAAAAAAAGAAAATTACAGGCCAGTCTCCCTAATGAATGAACACTGATGCAAAAATCCTCAACAAAATCCTTGCCAACAGAATCCAGCAATGCATCCATAAGATAATTCACCACGACCACGTAGGATTTATTCCAGAACACAAGGATGGTTCAACATCCGAAAATTAATCAATGTCACCCAACACATCAACAAAAGAAATATAAAAACCATATAATAATATTAATAGACGCTGAGAAAGCTTTCGACAAAGTACAACACCCATTCATGATAAAAGCCCTTGAAATTCTTGGGAAACAGGAACATACCTCAACATCATAAAGGCCATATGACCCCACTGACTGGAGAAAATTTTTGCACACAACACTGTGATGTAAAGGACTGATCACAAAAATCTACAAAGAGGTGATGAGACTCAAAAAAAAAAAAAAAAAAACCAAAAAAAAAAAAAAAAAGAACAAAAAACCAAAGAAAGTAATCCAGTCAAAAATGGGCAGAAGAAGGGGCGGAGCAACATGGCGGCGAGGAGACGCTGCGAGTAAGATCTCCCATTAAAAAAGTGAATAGGGAGGAAAAGCGGCAGGTCCCAGTGAGAACTGGGACACGGAAGATAAACGGGTGACGCCAGCGAACTGCCCGAAGAGAAAGTGGCCATAAAAGAGGACCAGAAGGGAGGGAAGCGCAGAACCCTGCTCCCCTCCCCCGCCCACAGAGGCTGCACTCTCCGACCGGCAGAGAGGAGGAAACAACAAACCAAAACGGCCAACAAGAAAAACGGACGCAGCAAGCGGGACTGTGAGTGGAAAGGAACTATTGCAGCCACCACACCCCGTGAACGGGAGCTGTGGAGAACCTTGCAGGATTCGCCGCGGCGGTGAGGGAACGGCTCCGGGCGCCATTAGAGAAGAACAAAGACCCCGGGAGACGCACACAGCCCGGGCTGCCGGTAAGCTGGCGCGGATAGCGGTGCGCTCGGCGCGCTTGAAAAGCAAGTGCAGACCAGGATCG